TAAACTGCAGCCCCCAGATTCCTAGTCTGGGTGCCATTCCCTCCTTTGCTCCTGGCTACTGCTGCCGGAGTCCCCAGGCTCCCTCTCCCTCCTCCAGCTTCTTCTGCCTTGCCTCACCTATGGGGGCTAGGACTGAGCAGCATGGCTCACAGGGCTGATGGAGCCCATCCATGCTGGTGTGGTGCAGTGGGAGGTGTTCACTGTGTGGCGGGGGGAAGGACTGTGCAGTGGGACTGCACCACAAGTCACACATCCACATGTGTAGGGGGCTTGTGTAGTGCTGCATGTTAATGCACTGGGACCATAGGGCATGTCAGGGGCTCATGTGGTGCATCAGGGCTCATGCTGTGCAGTGGCAGGAGAAAGAGGAGCGCATTGGGAACTTACACAGTGTGGCAGTGGGTGTCAGGAGGCTCATGTGGCACAGTATGTGGCCTACGTGGCCTGCAGTCCCCAGCCACTTGGAAAATAGAGATCCCTGCTTTAACCCAAAGGTTGGATGATGGGTCATGAACCATCTGCAGTTTTGTTTATTGTTGTCTTTGAAACACTGCTGATATTTATAGTCACTTCAGTGTTTACTCTGTTGAAATTCATATCTGTACCTTAATCACCTCTTATTGCCAGCCCAAAATGGATTTCTTTGGTATCTTCTTTCCTTGAAGAGAAAAAAAAGATAGGGAGAAATACAAGTTTTGCATGTCCCTGTACTATGTGCTGACTTCAGGAATGCTACCATCCAGCACCCTTCCTTTTCCTGGATTCCAGTACACTTCAGACATGACTTGCAAATTACCTTCCTAGTTTTCAAACCGTCATTGTCCTTGCTCTGCTCTGTCTCTTGGACCTTGTATTCATATAATCTGACCTTGGCCTTCTTTCCATTCCTTCTGCTCTATTGATTACATAGATAAAATGAACACCTATATGATACTCAATCTCTATAATCATGATGATTGCAACTAATCTGCAAAATGTACATTGTTACTAATCACCCTGAAAGTGCTGACTTGATGGTGAAGTTTTAGTCCTTATTGGAGGGTACTTGTGTCTTTTATGAAAGACTTTTTCTCGCAAGGGGTTTTTTTCAGGCTTTTCGGGGAAAAAAATCACTTTTCTTTTTGGATGAACCTAGTTTCAAACCCTTTTGTTCAGCTTTAATATTATATCTTGTTGTGGCAATAAATCTAGCAATCATTTGGACAGAAGATACCTTAGATAAGCCTAGCTTTTATTATAGATAGTATATATTTAACCAGACCTTCCACCACAAACTTATCTTCGAAGTTTGACAAAAGTGATTAAAAAAAAAAATACACCATCTGCATTACAAGTTTTATTGATCCTGTCATTTAATGTGTTTCATTTGCACCGTTTATGAGACTGAAGTTTGTTAATAATTAAATAGATGGTGAATGATAAAGTCTTCAATAATATGAACTTTAATGGCAACTGTTATATAAACATGTGATTTAATATTGTGTGCAATAGCACTTTATAGTTGTTGATACAACCTAGCACCAAAGTATGCTTTTATGCTCAAGTGGCAGTTTTGCATTCACAGCAGCTAAAGTAATTCAGGTCCCATCTTCATAACTTTGAGGCTGAACTATATTCTACCAAGCAACGTTACTGGGTTTAAATTCCAGCCTAGTTCATTTCTTCCTTTGACACTGGAGACTGAAAAGGCTGGAAACCTTATGGATGAGTGAATAAGCTAATATTTATGTTCCATATTCCTTTTATTCAGAGTGATATTTGAAAATATATCGTTTCAAGAAAACAAAGAAGCTTTGGTCCTGAAAATCCTTGAATCATGTGTGGCAGAAGCACAAAATGAAAGGATGCTACAAATAATAGAGAGCTGGGTCTAGTCCTCAGCATTGGGTGGGAAAAAGTCTTAATCCCCCTGTGCAATACTGTGGCAAGGAAGTCTGGCACCCGGGGCAAAGCTGGCAGTGGCAGCCCGCCCTTGCCCCACACACAGATCCAGAGGGCACCCCCCCACCCCCCCCCATGCTTGCCTGGGAGTGCATGCTGTAGCAGAAGCCATCCTCCCCCCATTCCCGCACTTCCCCAAATGAGCCACTTGCAGCTCTGTCCCACGCCCTGCTCTGGCTGGGAAGTGCATGTTGGCACCCCTTCAATTCGGTGCCTGGGGCGATCACCCCACTTGCGTCCCTTTACTATGGCAGTGCCCCGTGTGCCAACTTTCTTGCCCTTCAAGTTAAAAGGGGAAAACTATAGACTTGGTGTGTCTAAGGGCCTTGTTACGTGGTAATTTTGGGTGGCTCTTGGAGCTCTTAACACCATAATCATCCACACATTAACACCTGAAACTAGTTTTAAGCTAGTTCGCTCATTAGGTGGCTCAAAGTTATGCCACCCCGGGGTAGGTTCATCTCTGATTCATGTTACACCAAGGTGTAGTGCTGCTGCTCCCTAGGCTAGGCTTAGCCTGGATAAGAGCAGCAGCCCAGCAGTAGTGGCAGTGGGCAGAGACGACCGTAGGGGTGTGTGGGGCTTGGGGCAAATCAAACTGTGCAAGGCCCTTTTAACACTGCAAGGGGTGGGGCCGCTCTGCCTGGCTCCTGCCCAGCGCTGCAGGGCCCCACAAAGCACAGGGCCTGGGATGGCCGCTCCAATTCACCTCCCCCAAAGGATGGCCCTGGCAGGGGGGGCCAGGCAGGCAGTGCCCAGCTCTGCTCCCCTAGGACAGACAGTATAGCAGCCACAAGTGGGAAGAGGGATTTGGGGGGTGGGAGGGGGGGGCAGGGAGCCCTGGGGATTGGGAGGGAGACTGGGGGAACCCTGGGGGGCAGGGGGAAAGCCTGAAATGAGACGTGGGGGGATTCTTACCTTTCAGTCCTTCAGACCTCTGCTAGCCTGAATGCGTGACTGCTTCAAACTTGAGCTACTCTAAATTCCAACAATGATCAACATTTGTGTGGCTCACAGTGTAAGGTTTAACAAGGCCCCAGGGAGATAGGAATTTAATTGAGACTTTCAGTATGCAAACACAGTGCTTAGCTACATGTTTTGGTCCTTCATTTTTACGCCCTCCCCCCCCTTCCTGCTTATTGAAGTAGCATCATATTAATCTAGGCTTTCTGACTTACCCATCACTTTGAACCTTGAGCTTCTATATTTAGGGGCTTCATCCTGCAGAGTACAATAGATTTAATAGATTTTAGGGTTGGAAGGGACCTATTAGATCATCACATCCAACCCCCTGCCCTGGGCATGAAAGAGTGCTGGGGTCAGATGATATTTAAATCAAGCAGTAATGGTCTGAGTACTGAAAGTGGATTGAATCCCCATTGGTTTAGAGTGGAGGGAATGTAAGTTTTGCCTCTTTCTCTTTTTTAACAAGTGTCTACATACTTCATGAGATGGGTGGAACAGAGAAATTAAGAACCTGTCTTCATTTCCAAAAAGGTGTTCTTGGTTTTGGTTTCAACTAGTGCAGAATAGTCATCTCTGGGTGCATCTACATGTACAATTAATGTGAAGCAATAAACTCTGGAACAGTTCAAGCTAGAGTTAACTGTTCCCGGGGGCAATGTCAACATGTGCACCCAGATCAGCAGCAATTTGAGCCAGGGCAGAGCAGGCCTCTGGCTGGCTGGGCTGACTGGGCACAATTTACACTCCCAGTCAGTCTCAACACACGTATTTCAGTGCAGTTAATTACTCCTCTGCAAGACAGTACTGTCCCTGACAGTACTTTCTTACAGTGGAGTTAATTATTTTACTGTTCCCTTATATCAGTGAATGTGTAGACTGTGATGCTTATCTGTAGAGCTAATTAGTAGGCCTGTGCAAATAGGGAAGTATTGGATTCAGATTCAGATTTGGCTGATTCGGATCACTGTCCCCATTCAATTTGGCTGAATCAGAATCAGAGATTCAACGCTGTTTAGTCGCTGATTCAGCCCCAGCCTCCTGGCACTTGGAAAAAAAAAAAAAGCCCCCAACTCACCAATGGCAGCAGCACCAACTGGGGCCTCTGGGGGCTTGTGGAGAGCCCCCCCCACAGAGTGCGGGGCAGTGGGGGGCAGCAGGGATTGCACCTCCCCCCCCCCACTTGGCAGCCACGCAGCAGCTGTCACCGTGCACTGTCAAGGAACAGCTCCAGCAATCAGCTGGAGCCCGGTACCACTAAGCCCCAGTGGCCCCAGCACCCAGACAGTGCGCAGCGCCCTGCTGAGGCATGCTGCCCCCACACCATGGAGCAGCTGCCATGTGGGTGCCAGATGGCAGGTGCAATTCCCTGCTGCTCCCCACTGCCCCACGCTGTGCATGGGGGCTTTGCCATGAGTCCTCAAAGGCCCTGATCCCCACTGCTGCAGCCGGTGAGTGCAGGGCTTTTTTTTTTCTTTTACTTTTTTAAGCGCTGGGGGGCTGGAGCTGGGTGGGGGATGGGGCCAGGCAGGGCAGCCATGGGGGCTTCTGCCGCAGTTCCCCCTGCCCAGGGAGAAGCAGGCACAGCCAGAGGAGCCGTGGGAGAACCTGTAGCCACTGGCTGTGTGCGCCTCTCCCTGGCTGATCCAAATCTCTGATTCTCTCTGAATCAGCACTGAATCGATTTGGAGGCTTTGGATTCAATTTGGACCTTTTAATGAGTCTCCCAATTTGATTCAGATTCAGAGATTTGGCTGCTGAATCGGGCCAAATCTCCAAGTCGAATCAGCACCTGAAGCTTTGCACAGCCCTACTAATGAATCCATTCTGCAGTAAAGTACACATGTAGATGCACCCTCTCTAGAATTCCCCTGGGACTTACCTGTGGTTTTTTACCATGAGGTTGCTAGATGGGGTCAGCAGGGATTCCTCCCACTTGTGGCTGACTTGACTTGCAGTAAAACTCAGGTGTTTTGTTTTTGTTAATGCTTTACATCTGGGTAGCCAAAAACTTGTTAGTTAAATTGTGATTTATTTAGTAATGAATCTTTGGTGGGTAGGTCATAGCTGCATCCAAATCTTTGTCTCTATTCTAGGTGGTAGCTCTCACAGCTCTGACACACGACGAACATTTACCTTAGAGGATTATCTGAGTGATGGCTATAACTACAAAAGATACAATTTGCAGTGGATTTCAGGTAATCCATCTAATACTGATAAAGTGCTCTTTCTGCCTGTCTCTGTTATTTGACATCCATGTGAACATCAGGTTGCATTTACCTGAATGGAAGTAGCTGGTATGTGAAGAAAAAAGTTTTAAATTATTTTTGTGTGGTTGTAGAATGATGCCAGTAATGACAGCAGAATGAGGATGACTGATGATTCAGTGTTCAGCTGTACCTTCCAGCAAATTCCTGGGTTGCTGGTGATGGGAAGGCACATTGCTTGCTATGGGGACTCGAGGGTATGCCTGCTGCTCCAGCCTTTTGTAGGATGCTTCATAGTTCTTCCTTGTGCACCTTCCCATTCATAGGCCAGTGGTGAAATTGGAAGATAAGGTAGAGCTTCTTTTCTTTTTAGGTGCACTGAGTTCCCCAAGGGAGTTGGGGAAGCATTTTGTTTTATGGTTTCTCTGTGTTGATTTATAGTTTCTCTCTTGTTCCCTTAGGAAATGAATACGTCCACAAAACAGTGGATGGCAACCTGCAGATCATCAGTGCTGATAATGGAACAGTCTTAAAAACTCTGAAAAATACCACAATAGTATGTTCATATATTGTACACTTTAGACTTTGCATTGATTCTTTCCTTTTATGTGTTTCCTTTATATATGTAACCAGTCTCTTTCCTTCTTTGATAGAAAGAAGCTGGAGCTACCACAGCTATGTTCTCGCCAGATACAAAATTTGCTTTTCTACAATCTGGCTATAAGAAGGTACTAGTATGTTCTCCCTTCTTGAGACTAAGAGCTGGGAAAAGGGGAGCTGGAGACTGATTGGGCAAAAAGAGTTGGAGTGGCAGGGACTGGGAGGAAATGCAGTGCAATGCAGTGATCCTGTGTAAGGCTGCTGGCAGACATTAAGACAGACACATAATTGGAGTCTGAGGAATGTTATGCCCCATTCTCCAAATTGTATGACCAGCCATGCCGTGTGTGTATGGCAAGTTGCGTCATTCAAGGAATTGGGCATAAAATTCCTCAAACTCCAATTGTGTGATTGCCATCTGTTGGGGGGGCACCTTCAGCTGGGGAAGCCAGGAGATCCCTGCTCTCCAGGTGCCTCTTCCACAGGTGCCTGAGAACATAAAAAAGTAAGCATACAACTGGGGCTCCCAGGTACATGCCTGCTTTTTAAATGTCTGGGGTGCCCTGACCCCAACACTGGTGCTAGGCTTACAGTGCCCTGGACCTTTAAAAAGTGGACTTTTATCTGGGAGCCCTGGCTGAACACCCGTCTGGTTTTTTTATTTCCCTGAGCGCCGTAAACCTGACATTAGGGAGAGGCTTCTAGTGGGGGAGCACCCTTTGGAACACATGAAGAGCTAGATAATGTTAAACACATTAAAAAACAGTGTGCAAGAAATCTCAAATTTGGCACCCAAAATTAGGGGATGTGTTTGTCCTTCATCTTTTTCTGCCTGAATTCCTCACCCATAAATTAGGGATAGTTATAGCCCTTCATGTCACAGCTGTCCTTTGAAGAACTGATGGTGCACTCTGAAGCCCATCATTTGAGAGCCTTTGAGGAAGTCATTAATTACACATTCAGAGCAGGGTTGGAAGAGTATGCAGTCTATAAGGCATAGCCACATTGAATAATATGGACTAAGCAAAGAATTTAATATTTTATCATGAACTTCAGATTATAATACATCCTATGCAATGAATGAGGTAGGAGTCCTGTGACAAAAATACTACAAGATTATAGATTATATCAACAGGCATAAACACTAGATTAATAAAAGTTGGGCAATCAACATAATTTTGCCATTTCTTACCTTCTGAGTAGGAAGCATGGCTTGACTTTACAGTTGCAAAATTGAAAAGTATACATTGTATTAACCCATAGAACAAGAGATTAAACTAGCACAGATCCATAAATCAGGAGGATACTGGCATTTAGCTACTGGTTATTAAGCCCTTGGACATGAGAAAGGGTAAAGCAAGAAAACGATGCCTTTCAAGTGAGTGAGAAACCAAAGAGGAAATTTTCTAATTGTCTACTTTCATAGAATAATTATTAATTATCATAGAGAAAATATATTTAAATATGTTTTTGTAATTAGATAATGAATTTTTTTGAACTGGAAAAAGAAAGTTTAAAAGTATACACATTATTTAACAGCAGAGATGAGTTAGAACACACAGACTGTCATAATGAATCAAGTTTATGGGCTGCTAGTTTGATATCCTAGCAGAGGACAAAGTAGAATCCTGTAAGCTGTCTTGCATGTACATCTGCTATACCATCCCATTCTCAGGCCCCACACAGTGCTTCCACTGAAACTCTCAAAATCTACAGCTTTCCAGAGGCAGACCTGGGAGAGAGATTTCTGTAGAGGCCATAGATTTCTGTGACAAAATCTGGATAGAAAATAGTATATCTTAGAACAGTGTTATCTATTCTTGGGTAAGCAACTATATAAGGGCCAAGAAAACAAGAAACATCAGGATGTTGAACAAAGTAGCGTGATACAGTGCTTTAAAACAGTAGGGGTACCAGTGAGACAGAGTAAAAAGGGGCTGGGAAGCTGCCATCTCTGTATGAAAGTCTTGCTCCAGTCTTACCATGGATCCCTGGGAACATCCAGGCTGGAGGAGCACATGGCCTTAAAAATCTGGTGTGTGAATAGTTCCTGTTAAAGAGGATAGTTTAAAGGAAAACTCAGAATGAATCTTTCACTGATTAATTTCCCTAGGTTTTTACCATGGATGGGGACATTCTGACCCACTAGTGATCATGGATGGCTGATGGGCCCATTCACCTATCAGAAATAGAAATAGTAAAGGTTTCAAACACTTATCATTAACTTATAACACACTTGCAGACCTCCTTAAAATGTTTCTTGATGAGGATATTTTCTTAAAATAATAATGGTTTTCTTGCAGCTCTGGAGACATTCATATACAGCTACATATCACATTTATGACATGACTACAAGGTTAGTAACTTTATGTAAAATTGATCTAATATAATGTAAATGCTTTGCAATAAAACAACACTATAATGATTGTCTGTCTTAACTATTTTTGTTTTGTTTTATTTTTTGTTTTCTAGTACCTTAGTGACTGAGAATCCACTTCCTAATGATACCCAGTATATATCCTGGTCACCTGTTGGTCACAAATTGGTTAGTAAGTAGAAGTGCAGTATATAAGCAGTGCAATTCCTGTACAACAATACAGATGTTAGTCAGTGGCCTGTATTTACACACCCAGGCATAGATGCACACAGTTCTGTCAGAAGTCAGATAGTTTTATGCTGTTAATGTTGGAAGTATTGTCATCTCCTTGTGATTTTGTTGTTGTCCTTTCTACATTTTTGTTCATGACCACAGGCCAGGTAATTTACTATGATATTTTCTGGTACTAATGAATTTTAATGAATATTTTCACTTGTTAAGTGGCCTCGGTATACTTAATAGAATGCAACTATCAAGACAGTTCCTGCAATCCGAATGACAAAGAAATAGGATGCTGGAAATAAATATAGCTTGTTCTATCACTGGATTCCAACCATAATTTATTTAATAACTATGAGATTTTTTTTTGTAGGCATATGTGTGGAATAATAACATTTATGTGAAAGAATTCCCAGGAGCAAAGAGTATACAAATCACCACAAATGGAGAAGAAAATAAAATTTTTAACGGAATTCCTGATTGGGTTTATGAAGGTAACTACATACAACTATTTTATTTTATATGGTAACATGCAAACTCCTTGTTATAATTTAAAAAAAATGTTAGAAATGTGGAGAAAAGAAAGAGAAGTTTAGTTCTTATTATATATAACATTTTTATTCCATAGAAATAAGGAGAGTAGGTATAACTATTCCCGTTTTAGAGATGGAGAAGCAGGAACACTGCAAGCTGAAATGTTTTGCTTAATATCACACAACAGGTCAGTGGTGAACCGAGGCATGGGCTTTTGTCTCCTGACTCCTAGGGCACTGTGCTGTGTACTAAACCAGTGGTTTTTAACCTTTTTGGATCAGTGTACCCCTAGCGGCCAGAGGTGGAGCAATGTAACCCCTGGTGGCTGGATGTGGACCTGGGGGTGGCGGTGCGTGGCCAGACACCGGGGGTGAGGGACGGGGGGTGCACAGTTCAGTGTGGAGCAGCGGCAGCTGCTGTGTGCAACCTTTCCCCACCCCCACACTTCCGGCAGGGCAGGCGGTGCCTTCACGGGCAGCACGGGATGGTGCTCCATCCCTGCCTGTCCGCATGTACCCCCTAGGACCTTCTCAAGTACCCCTGGTTGACAACCCCTGTACTAAACCAAAGTGCCATTCTAACTAGAAGCTTACCGTACATTAAAATGTAGGCATTATTTAATGCTTTGATGAATGGCAGCATCCTAAACATATAAAGAATAAATAAACAAATAAAGAGTCCAGAACAGGTCTTTGATGAAGCCAGAATCAGGGATTGTTTTTATAAAAGTATATAATTTGTAGGCATTAATTCATTTAATGTCATTTTAGAGCCCAGGTAAGTAGTCTACAGTTCAGCAGCTGAACTTCAGCACAGCTCTGTAAAAACTAATGAGAATGATATTTCAGATACAGAAGCCAACTCAGCAACTATTGCTTCAAAAGAATGCATTTGCATCTCTTTCAGAGGAAATGTTTGGCACCCACTCTGCTCTGTGGTGGTCTCCAAATGGCAATTTTATAGCATATGCAGAGTTTAATGATACAGAAGTTCCTGTTATTGAGTATTCCTTTTATTCAGAAGACACGCTGCAGTATCCAAAGACGATTAGAATCCCATATCCCAAGGTCTGTGTTATTTATTAAATATGGTTGTTCAGCAGTTTCAGTAAGAGAATAGTCTCAGTTTTAATCACTTTCTGCTAACGAAAATATTGTCTGTCTCTCCTCAACAGCTTGCTGTGATTACTCTTACTGAAGTCAACAGCATCTGGCAATGTTAAAGTATTTTATTTTCTCCTGGAAAGAAAGTGTGATTTTTTTTTTTATTTTTTTTTTAAGGTTTTGTTGTTTCTCTAGAAAGTTTGATAAGTAGACATGGTGATTGTGAGAAAAGCTCTTGTTAGGGGTTCACTGATAAAGATTTTCTTGGCCAATACCAAGAGCCAATTATTAACCAATCATATTGGTCAATACTGATCCAATAATTGATTTGCAGGAATACAGCTGGGCAGTGTGGAGAGCAGCTCCCTGCAGGTAAGTCTGTGGAGGGGAAGGGCCGTGGAGAAGGGAAGGGGCCTGGGGGGTGTAGATTGAGGCCCCCACGGTGAGGGAGGGAGTGGGGCAGGGGCTGGGGGTGATGTCCAGATATGGCAGTGAATGGGACTCAGGGCTGGGGCGGGTAGTGGGACAGAGTCACGGGCAGCTCATCCAGGGACTCAGCATCCTGGCACTCAAAAATGGTGGCAATGGTGCTTGCGCTAAAGCTTGTCAAATGAGCTTTAGTTGAAGCACTGCCACCACCATTTTTAAGTGCGGGGATGCTTGAGTGGAGCCGAGTTGGCTGAGGGCGGATGTGGGATGCCAGCTGTGGGCTTGGACCTGTCTGCTTTGCTGCCTTTCCCTCAGGAGCCCCATGTCAGCCATGTGCCGCCTGCCCACCCAGCAGCGGGAAGCACAACTCACAGCCCCTACTGCTGCTGGGTGGACAGGGGATGCATGGTCAGCATGAGAATACTGAGGGAAAGGCAGCATAGCAGAGAGCCCTGAGCCCACAGCGAGCAGCCCGCATCTGCCCTTTGCACATATCTGAGGAGACACATGCCCCCACTATGCCTCCCCCAGGGGGTAGGCACAGCAGTGGAGAGTGCCCCGCCAACCCTACCCACGCCCCCTGGATGAGCGTCCTGCCACTCTGTCCTGTTCCCTGCCCCAGCCCTGGGTCCCATTCACAGTCCTGGCTGGGCAGTGCCCCCAGCCCCTGCCCCACTCCCTCCCTCACTGCAGGGGCCTCAATCTGTAGCCCGCCATGCCCCTTCTATCCCACACACCCCTTTCCCTCCACAGACTTACCTGCAGGGCGCTGCTGTCTATGCTACCTGGCTGCATTCTTGTGTGTGGCTACATGCACATACACGGTGTCCTGAGGCCCCAGCCAGAAGGCATATTGTATTTATCAGTGACATTATCAGTTACACTGGCGAAAAAAAGCCAATAGCCGATAATATTAATTTTCCTTTTATTGGTGTTGATCTGATATGCAACCGATATATATGCACGTCTAGTTCTTGTAGGGCCAAAGTTCCTTCCCAGTGCATATCCTTTTGCAAATGCATTTTCAGGTCTAGGGTGTTACATCACATTCATAGACAGACTCATCTCCAAGCTGTGAACCTTCTACAAAACTGCAACTTCAGCTCATGAATTCCAATAGACTTCTATGATGTCTGCCTCTTAAAGGAAGGTGGGGGGAGTATTGTCAGTGGGTTTCCTAGTCTTTTCTGTCTTTGATATCATGGGTGGAGTCTACAGACTCCACAGCTTACTCATACCAGTGCTGCACCATGTCTGTGTGCTAGGAGTATAAGAAGTCTTTCTGGCTGGAAGCAGACTGCCAAATGAAGCAGATCAGCTGGGCTGGGATGTGTCCCAGCCTAGCTGATGCACTTCATTGGGTGAAATGCATTGCCCATCATCCTATTCACTGATCTTACAGAACAACAGGTGATGTTCCCAGATGTGCTCTAAGAATCTCTGGAGTGTCTCTCTCCATTTCCCCATTTACAGAGATGCACCCCAGAGACCACACTGGAGCAAGTTGGACACTCCAGTGCAGTCCCAGATCTGGGGCTGCCAATCAGCCCTAAGACTGCATGGGAATGTCAACAGACACCTGGGCAATCCCAAATGGGGGAACATAGGCAAGTGCTCCCAGGGCTTCAGGAGCCTGATCCTGCATGCTGTGGAATTGGAATTTGCAAATGCAGGCAGGATCAGGACCCTGAAGACCTGGGAGTACCTGCTTGGGGCAGCTGGAGTATGCAGGCATTTTTGGGCTGACCATACTCTTCTGCCATAAACCTAACAGACATCTGCAATAAAGCAGCACAAATTGATACTGCTCTGCTGTGTGAGTGGGTGGGTGGGCACTCTCTAGCACTGCACCAGCCATATAGCTCTTCCCAACCTCAATTCGTGAGCTATGAGTTCCTGCAGGCTGCACTGCCCATGGGTGGAATGGAGAGATGTATCCCACCCCTAGGCAGGTGAACAAAGCAGAAGTTGAAGGGAAAGCCCAGGGATCCTGGCTACTACTGCAGCTAGGATGATAGGGGGAGTGGTGGCTGAGTGGAAGCCTGGGGAGCCACAGATTAACCTCTTGCCAGTTGAACAGCTCTGAGTTAGTCTATAAGGTGCATCTCTCCACCCTGCCTTCTTTATGACTTCAGACTAACATGGCTAACTACCTCTCTCTGCTTGTGGAATGTGAGCAATTTCTGAATCCTGAAGGGTGGTTGTATTTGATAGTGGGATAGGACTTGACCATTGCTAGCAATTAATAAGCCATAGCTTTTCTGGTAAGCCTTATAATGTATTAGCAAATGCTACATGGGCCACAATATCCTGAATACAATTATGAATGCTTATTTGGATGAAAGAACAGTATTTAACTAGAGTTGATGGTAATGTCCTATTAAAAGGATAAAAGTATGTGCTCATCTCAAAGTTTTATTCAGATGTTTTACTTCACACTGTTTATGTGGTACTTTACTGTGATTTCTCTGTTTTACAGATCCTTTATCATCACTAGGCAGTATTTGCTATTTTCAAAAATAATATGAGGTATTTTCATTTTTAGGCAGGAGCTAGAAATCCTACTGTGAAATTATTTATAGTGAACACCCAATCTCTTACTCCTTTGAATTCCACTGAGATTACTGTACCACGTAAAATATCAGGGTGAGTAGTTCTTATGGTATGTGTGTTTTAATTGTGATTCTTTACCAGTACTGTGTTTTCGGCTTGGAAGGATAATTCACACATGCCCTTTCAGCTGCATCCTCAGCTTGATAGCACAAAAGCTGAATTCACTTCAAGTTTGCTCCTGTTTTGATACCAGTGCAGCTCCATATAACTGATACTAACACAGCAGTGAACTGGACTCAGAGTGTTCAAAAGCACTGATGTTTAAATTAATTCTGCTTGTGAGCATATACAGTTAAGGTGTAAGAAACACTTGATACAGTGACTATTAAAAACCTTGCACCCCACCCCTGGTACGTGTGTATACATGAACCCATGCACACTAACCTGTCTTACAAGAATTACGCAATAAAAAAGTTTAATAATTAAACAGTAGCATATGGTTGATATAGTGCATGGGTGTTGAACTCATAGTGGGCCCTAAGCCAGATCCGGTGTGTGAAGGACTCCTGCCATGTCAGAACTGTGGGCCCAGTAATATTTGAGTGGCAGCACAGATCAAGGGTCCTGCCATTGATGGCCATGTCCATTAGGGTCTACAGACCCTGAATTCTGTGGCAGACCATACTGCCCAACTTCCAATAGCCCACCAGACTACTGGTAGGCTAAAAGAAATGGTTTCGTGGGCCAGATCTGGTCTGTAGTCTGGATGTTTACCCTGATACTGTAAAGCAATTTGAATCTTTATGCTAAGGACTGTCCAGAAAATACTGAGAGGAAAGTGACTGCAATTGTGTTATGCTCCTTCACACCCCACACCCCACCCCCATTTATGAAAGGCAAGTTAGCCCCAAAGAGCAGATAATGTTACTACATTTGTGATGAAAGAGAGAGGAGGGGGAGTGCAGGCCAGATTTCTGGGATGACAGTATTCTTTTCTCACTTCTGCATGAGGTTTTTCTAAACATAGTGGTTTATATTTCACCCAGGAAATACTGTTCAGAGAGGCTCTGAGTGCCCAAGTAAACTGTTTGGCCCTTAGCATTTAGAACATTCCCATAACTGGTAGAACGTATTCAAGAAGGGCGATCTTACTTACCATTGTGAGTGAAATTTATGCCTTTTCAGAGACCCAGCACGGGGTCCCTCCATCTTTCAAACCCAAATTTAGTCCCATGTTATGCTGAGTGCTACTATAGGACTGTTTAGTGGGCTGTAATACACAGGGATGTATTTGACCCCAGGAAGATCAGCTTGTATTACTTTGGGAAGTGAATTCTTTGCAGAGAGTGAAAGAGAGTTACAATACAGTAATTGCAGGAATTAAACTAAATTCATCATAATGCAATGTAGACTGCATGTGAAAAAAATCCAAAAACTGGAGGGGACATCTCATGCTCTCTGACTGAAATTACTAAAAGGCATGCTTTTCCCTGAAATTTCATTTTTTTCCCTGTGGTTTGAGCCATATTTCTACAAAACTATGAAAATGGGACATTAAAATGAAAATGGAGTACAGGTGTCCTGCTAGCAATCCCTTTCACAATCAAGTGCCATGCTCACAGTAATATAGAAATTAAGATTATATACTAAAAAAGCCCTGCACTTTAATCAGAAATAGATAAAAAA